ACACATTAAAATTGAGATTCTCAGAGCTACCTAGTTAATTATAATTGTTATATGTATAAATTAAGTGTTAAGTGTTAATAATTAAATATTTTACAAAACTAACGTCGTTTACCACTTTTTTGAACTAGTTACTCGCTATTAATTTGGCGTTTAACGTGAGGATACCAGAAAGTATTCTTTCATCAAATATTTTTTCCTCACAACACAAAACAAATAGTATGATATTTATAGGTGCCAATATCCACAAATTCAAACAGGTACAACATGTTTTTTTAAATGGAATGCCATATTTTTTCTCGTATGATATAATGCAAAATTAAATTTGGTGGTTCCTTATAAATTAATTTCTAATAATAATCAAAACTATATCTGTCTTTTTTAGCTCTTCTTCTTGTCTGGTAATTGTGTTTCGAGATATTCCTTTACATAAACCATCTACTAATTCTTCTTCTGAAAACATTGTGTCTAATTATGTAATTACTCAACAATAAATTAATAAACTGACATTTCCTCGAAAAACAAAACAAACTCGCCAAACTTTTTAAAACGGTTAACTTGATGATGCGATATAATTAAAAATTTCAAAAAAATTGTAAATTGCTCAAAAACTACTGGTCAGAGATACCATTACCCTTATATCAGTTGATACGAAATTTAATTTTGCATTATAGTACACAAGGAAAAATATAGCATTCCATTTAAAAAAAAAGGTTACTCCTGCTTGAATTTGTGAATATTGGCAGCCATAAATAACATACTATTTATGACGTACGTGCTGTCTATCTAATACGTATAGACGATAGGCAATTTCTTTCTGAAATGGAATATGAATGAAAACCGCAACCCCCTAAATCTTTTTGTTTCTGAGATATTTAAAATTGCGCCAAACACTGCAAATTTTCCAAGGGACTTTTCTAAGAAACCTGAAATAACTCCAGAACGGTGCGACCCAGGTCCAGCATATTTTAATAAACTGACATTGTTTTTTTTTTATGGAAAATTCAAAAATGTAATAGTGTAGGAGATTCCGTTTAAATTACCGAAGTTACTGTGCATTTTCGTTATAACCGGAAGTTAGCCATATTTAATAACATTTTCATATTATTATACACTTAACTCTATCCAACTTCTACTTGAAATATTTTTCTCTATTTTGATGTATAAGTGTATAAATGACTGATTTCGGCTTAGTGACTATATATGAATATATTTATATNCCAATAGTTAAAATTCCGTAGTTTCACTAAATATTAATTAAATGCTTGTCTAGTGCATCTTTTGAAAAATCCAATTTATGTTTTCTAAATGATTTTGGAGAGTCCTATATATTCATATATTTTTATAATATCAATTTAACATTAGAATACTTACGTTCTTGCAAAATTTGTGTTTTAACACTGCACCAAATGTGTCATAAGTTGAAACAGTGACGTAATTCTGATCACAGGGGCCTTGTATGTCAAAAACTGTAAAACGTGCATAATGTATATGTTGCATTTATGAAAAGTGAATTAAATTAATAGGTAGAAAAGTACTATAACATCGTATCTCACCAGGAAACTTTATGTGTACTTGTAAGCCATAAGGAACTGTTATACTCCATGTGCAGGTCATGCTATTGCCGTAAGCTTGAGGATATAGCGGACTAGTAAATTTACCCGTATAATCAAATATCTTCCCGCCACAGCCTCTAGCTAATAATAAATACAAATATAAAGACATTAAGTAAATCATAATAAATTGTTTCTACGTTTATCTTTAAATTATCTTATACATGTATGCATTATCCAATTTTGTCACGAGCCGGTGTAGTGAGGAATGACTGTGACCATTCGCCTTCTGTTGAACCGCGCTGGAACTTGGAAATGAGTTAATGAGATACGGGAGTATTAAATATACCTCGTAAGTGTTCTCTTTTTCTATTGTAACCTTATAATGCTAAGCATAATCATCATTGTTGTGTATTAACGCGTGCATCGAATATTCCGCCGTTTCTACAACATTCCACTAGCTGTGCCCATAACACTCGGTCACAATGTTCTCCTTCGAGAACATTCGTGACTGCAACGTTCCCTTCCTCCACTCCGTACTTTTTTCGTTTGTATATACACGCCTGCTCGCCACACTCGGCCGGTTTTCTCTCATCGACTCTGTGTCATTGTAAATAAATATAGTGGTTGTTATTTATCTTTACCTCACGATTTAACAATAATTATAGGGTCGATAGTCCTAAGACTGGTTGGAAACGTACCTCCACTCTTTCCTATCCTGAGCTAAACTTCGCATTTCCCTAAAACTAGAACAACCCACATCCTTAACTATTTGCCAACAGTAATCTAATCTAGGTCTACCTCTACCCTCTTAACTTCCGTTTCTGCCTCTAATATGTCTCTGACTAGACCTTCATGCCTGAGAAGGTGTCCTACCAACCTATCTCGCCTATTTCTTATTGACTTCCAAANTCTCCTATTCTTTCTAATACCTCTTTATTTCTAACCTTTTCTATCAACATTATCTTCATCATTCGCCTATAACACCACATTTCGAGCGCTTCTAACTTTCTCGTTTCCGCCGCGTCCACTGTCCATGTATCGCACCTAACGCCGCGCTCCAAACATACACCTTTAACAATATTTTCCCAATTTCAAAATTAACCATTCGCGAGCATAGAAGACCCTGCGCTATCCTCTGCTTGATATGTCTTCTACTCCTTCCGTCTTGACTTATCTGACTCCATAGATATCTAAAATCAGCCACTTCCAATTTTTCGTCTCCTATCTTTATATTCGCCCTTTTCTTACTTTTTCTTCCCTTGTATACCAGTATTTGAGTTTTACTTTTATTTATTTTCATGCAATACTGTTTTGTCCATACCGCTTTTATTTTATTTAATGCTGTCTCTAGCTCCTCCTTTTAGATGCTAATACTGCTATATCATCTGCAAATCTAAGCATACTAATCTTTTGCCCCTGTATATCTATCCCAACAGTTGTACTGTCTTTAATGCTAAGCATATGCATCAAAAAAGAAATTAGTAAAAAATAAGTAAAAAATTTGCTAATAAGTCCAAGGTAAGGACGTTGACAGAGAAATAGTATTCATATGTTTGGGAGAGCCACAGTAATGACTGTTTCATATGGTTCCAACAGAGGGCGAATGATCGTAGCCATTCTTTCATGTGCCAGCTTCACTTTGTCTGATGTAAGTCATTCACACTTATCAAATACTAATAGTACCTCCAGAAGAGGAAACATAAAGAAGATCGAAGAACATAGCTATTTGTTGATTTACAACTAAATGTAGAAGTAACTGGTTTCCAGATGAAAATATAGGATTTGGAACTGTATATCGACATAGCCGCGCTAATTCATGACTACTAGTAGAATTTCCATCATATATCTACAAAAGAGAATTTATCGATTAAAAGGTAAACGATTCTAAATTTGTTTGTTACCAAAAGAAAATTATCTGAACAGGTTGACGTGTCAAAAATTGCAAATTTCATAAAATACAGCGAAATAGTTGTATTCTCGGGAGTAGAAATAAGCATGAAACAGTTTTCAGGTTTGTAACGATCATATTTTATTCGACCTTGAGAGTTAGTGTAATTACGACTACAACCTAAAAAAAATTTGTAATTTGAATTAATTTATAGTCAAGTAACTACGTCCTTAATCACACCTGTCCTAGAAAATTCCAACCGAAACCCCTTCCCATGAGGCTTAGAGCTACCATAAAAGGAAACAATAACTTCGTTGCTTCCGGAATAATAAGTAAAGCCACTTGAATTTCTTCCACAGAATTGATGAGTATCTGTTGGTATCCAACTAGCCTATTTAAGTAAGAACGGAGATTGTCATTATTCTAATTTATGTTGTATTCTTTGTCATTTATAAAGAGATGTTCGGACGGTGATTAAGTAAATTTTTAGTGAATGCTCGCCCAGTTTTCATTTCATTCATCAAAAAACACCGTTTATCACTATCCAATAAGAGTAAAAAATAAAGAAAAATATTTTTACAGGTAAATTTAGTGACGTAAAAATTATCATTTGAGATTCTTGTTCACGCCCTGTAAATGCATATTTTATGTCTCAACATCCTGTAGATGTCATGTCCTAGGTTACTTTAAACCCATTTATTGTCACTTGCTAAAGCTATAAGTACACTGAGGGCATGACCATAAATGTAACAGCTGGAAGTCATCCGAAGGCAAGTGGTTGTGCCCCTTTGTGTACAGATTTTGTTTAGATTTAAGTTCTGTATGCATCAGAGAGTGTGATTTGACACCACGACACAACCTCGAATTCTCTGTAGTCCAGTGTAGTTTTCGATAATAAAGTAATTATTTTGTTAAGGTCACTCTGCCGACTTTTATTCCAACAATCATCAACGCAAAAACAATTCTGATTCAAATTCTGTTGGAATTGAAAACAAATAAATTACTTAAATTGTTCTCGCAGTTGATAGAAAGCAATAAATAGAAAATTGGGTATATGCAGAAATCAAAACCGATAGGATAAATAAGGAAAAAGGGCTATTTTGTCTGAGTAGATCTTACGGTTAACTGGAAATTAATATCGTTATGTATTTTACATTATTGTATAATGGAAGAGTATAGCATACATGGATACAGTGATTTTATTTATGTTAATATTCATTTATATAGACGGCAAAATTATTCCAGAGAAAGATGACGATGAAACAATTTAGTGCCTGAAACGTGCCATTGAAGCAGCTGCAGAGTACGGATTGTTATTAAACTTTATTAAATATCAATTTCTGAAGCGTATATACTACTCATCGCGGACAGATTCAACCGTCTACGAAGAAAAAGAAAATTAATCCGGAATCTCTCATTTGTAGCCAAACCATTGAGCGACTTCTTAAGAGATAAACCTGAGTTCAAATTTGCTGAGGAACTACGTGTATTTGAACAGCTTAAATCTTTTCTCTCATAAGGACCGCTTTTAAAAAGTGAACACCAATTCCGCGAAAAAGCATAATGTAGTTGCACGCAAGTATTAAAGTAGTTTTTTTTCCATTACCCACTAACTTAAGATACGTAATAGTCTACTGGTATGATCTTAGCTGTCGCCTCCTAATTTCAGCTAGTTTTTTCAAACTTGAAACAATACCAGAGGTAGAACCCAATCCACTAATTGTAGTTTGTTTATTGGCTTTTATCCGATACTCCACCCACCACAATTAATTAGTACCCACCCTCTTTCTCGTAAATACTTTACTTAATTTTATATCATCTTTTCTTTCTGCTTTCTCGTAGTTAGTGTCGTTTCTCGTTCATTAATGATAAATATTCTTTTTCGTTAGTTTTTGTAAATACAATAAATCATATCAACTGCAATCCATTTGATTCAAAAATAAAACAGAAGTATACTTACAGCAAACACTGGATATGCATGTTTTCCACGGAGTAGAGTTGTTGTGCCCAAGGCATCTGTAACTTTATTGAAACTCTGAAAATTTAAAAATTAATTTTCATTTAATTTAGTAAACCTGTAATAATTACGTGTTTATCAGAAATTTCTATTCTGTCTTCTTTGCAAAATGATTTATCTTGATTATAAGTTAAATCAAAGTCAATAAATTCAATTTTTATCTTCTCAAAGTAATCATTGGTGTTTAACAACCATTTGCATCTAATATTGTTAGGGTAACTTTCAGGATACTTTGGTGACATTAGTGTACCTGTTTCATTTGTTACCTTAAGTACCGATGTGCCACATGGCGCTAGAATTGACATTTTATTAGAAAAGGTTAATTCTGTTGAATAATGTAGATTAACGCATACAGCTTATAGGTCTTAAACGTATTCGAAATCCAGTAATTGGTAGATTTAGCCCCAAAAATCGAATCCATAGATAATTGCTTGTAGTCAGGTAGGTTGGCAAAACGTGCCAAGAGCTATTTAAGATATCTATTGTTTCGGATACAAAACTAGGTCCATCATGAATCTGAAACATTATGTAATAAATTAGAAAATCTATTACCAAAATATCGCTAATTACTTCTATGTATGTAGGAATACAACTGGTATTGTTAGTATTAGAATCATGATAGAAACAGCCTTCTAAATTAAGCTCAAGAAACTCAATTTTTATTACAGACGGTTCCGTTGTTTTGATTTGCCACTGACAATCCATTATAGCGGCAATGTTTGATGGAGAAATTACTCGAGTTTCATTGATGAACAAATTGCCACCACAACCCACTTCCGCACCATATTGGAAATAAACATAGGCCTGAAAACCAGCATTATTGATAGAAAAGCTTGTTCTTAAGTTAAGTAGGAGTGAATTTCCAGTTGATTTAAATACAGGAGGACTATCTGTAAGATTTCCGCACAAACGTGATAATTTTAAATTTGCGTCTAATTGAGATCCGTCATACACGTCTAAATGTTCAAAATTACATCCATGACTGTGCATTATTTCAAACAGTTTAAACCTATAAAAGTACAAATAAGGAAACCCACTAAATGTCAGTGACAAATTATTATCCTTACTCTACAATAACATGCTTATTTGAAGGAGCGGTGATATTCCAAAGGCACGAAGAATAGGTAGTGAAATAATCGAAGAAGCTTTTTTGAACGTATCCCTCCCTTCTTGGAGAAGATATTATTGTAGGTGCTGTTATTCTACCACCGCAATCTAAAATTGCAAATAATATAGCTTACGAAATGCAAAAAACTAACACCTTTATACCATCTGTACTGAAAGAGAATTTATCCAACTAGCCTATTTAAGTAAGAACGGAGATTGTCATTATTCTAATTTATGTTGTATTCTTTGTCATTTATAAAGAGATGTTCGGACGGTGATTAAGTAAATTTTTAGTGAATGCTCGCCCAGTTTTCATTTCATTCATCAAAAAACACCGTTTATCACTATCCAATAAGAGTAAAAAATAAAGAAAAATATTTTTACAGGTAAATTTAGTGACGTAAAAATTATCATTTGAGATTCTTGTTCACGCCCTGTAAATGCATATTTTATGTCTCAACATCCTGTAGATGTCATGTCCTAGGTTACTTTAAACCCATTTATTGTCACTTGCTAAAGCTATAAGTACACTGAGGGCATGACCATAAATGTAACAGCTGGAAGTCATCCGAAGGCAAGTGGTTGTGCCCCTTTGTGTACAGATTTTGTTTAGATTTAAGTTCTGTATGCATCAGAGAGTGTGATTTGACACCACGACACGACAACCTCGAATTCTCTGTAGTCCAGTGTAGTTTTCGATAATAAAGTAATTATTTTGTTAAGGTCACTCTGCCGACTTTTATTCCAACAATCATCAACGCAAAAACAATTCTGATTCAAATTCTGTTGGAATTGAAAACAAATAAATTACTTAANTGAAATGCAAAAAGCTAACACCTTTATACCATCTGTACTGAAAGAGAATTTAAAGCCTTTGTCAACCGAACTAGAATCACTATTAAATGTTATTGCGATAAAGTCTTGGAAACGTAATGGAGCTGGTTTGTTTGACCCACAATACAATTTTGGAGCTCGCAAGTCAGATTTCCCCCTTCTAAGTCGGGCAGTTATGGAAATGTAATCAAATTTACAGTCAAGCGCTGTAATAAGGAAACGTTCTAATGAAATTGTTTGGTACCAGGGAATTAACTACTTCTTATAAATGCTATAGAATTCAGTTTGATCATGACATACTTTAAAAGACTACATAAAAAGCATTTATTTGTTTGTGCACTTACATTTCTCTAAATTGAAATCACTGAATACGATGTTAATTACTTTTCCAGGCGCATGAATTTCATATACACAATGTAAATTTTCTGGATAATTTTTTGGATACCCTGGGCTCAAAACATATCTTATTTTTTTATCTGCTTCAAGAATGCCCCCACATTGGAAAGACCATTTTACCTATAATATACAGAGAAATATGTATTTACATATTTAAAATTAATTGCACTAATACTCACTTTAAAACCAGCAGCATTAATTTTTTCGTTACTTCTAAAAAGTAATTTCATTTTAGTAGACGTAGAGTTAATATAGCGGGAAATGTTTCTTCCACAGTATCGCCCAAGGGATTTCCAGTTATCATCCTTATAGTCCCAGATCTTAAAATATTATTAAGCAATTTTTCTGAGTAATGTTATTTTATTAACTGGAAACGTACCTCTAAGTAATCGTTAGTACAGTTATGACTACTTTCTAAATGAAACCTGTAAATAAATTCTAGACGAATATGATATCCGTCATCAGCGTTTAATTCCCAGAAACATTCAGAATTACTAGGATATTCTTTAGGATAGCCAGGAGTTTCTAATAATCTATCAGGATGATATAATAAGCCACCGCATCCTTTAAACAAAAATCATAGTTTAACTAATAGAGGTATCGATTTGAAACATACTCTATTTCTACTAGTCTAAGGGATCTATTCAATTAACATATTTTCGAAATAGTGACATTTCCGATTTTATCGGATGTTTGACATTACTTCATTACTTTAATTGGATTAACCATATACTTAATGCTGTGTCTTCTTGCGACCGTGAAAGCCTAAGAACTACAGTAACCATAGTTATTTATTACTATCTTTTTTAATAGATGACTAAATTTAAAGGCATCTCCTTTAAGGGTGATAAATTTAATATTGCCAAGGCAACCGGTTTCTTCCTTTTCTTCATTGTTAATTAAAGATATGTAGGTATTTATTCATATTTATAACAGATTTGTTTAATAAATAATACAAACATTGCAATAGGAACAAACCGTACAAAAGCGATAAAATGCTAGTAAATATAAAACAGGCGAGCGTGTATGTGTACACGCGTAAGAAGTAAACTTCTTTAGATCGTATATTATAGTAGTAATTAAAAATAAAATTGGCCTAAACTATTACATTTACTAATTATCGAGCGCGGATAGGTGCTAGACATTCAGAACAATTACCTTCACTTCCCATGCGTCAAAAATCTTAACTAGAATTGTACAGAGTAGGATGGAAAAAAGGGCGGAAGAACTATTAGGGAAAGATCAATTTGGGTTTAGAAGAAATAGAGGAACGCGGGAGGCCATTCTAGCTTTACGGGTAGCAATAGAGAAAAC